TATCGGTAACAAAGAATGAAAATTGAAATTTGCATGAAAAACTCAGACTGCACTACATACCTGTTTGTGTTTTCTACTCACACCTCGAGAATACAAAGAGAAGCTTTCCAGTGAAGAACAAATAAATTGAAAATGATATTTTGAAATAGGCGGTTTCGTATTAAAGTCTTAAAGTTGAAGACTAAGCTAGTTAAGCTTATTACTACAAGCGCTTATAATATTTTTTTCTTTGTTTTTGTTTTTTGTTTAGTTTGAAGAGGAAAATTGAATCCCAGAAAAGGTTGGAAATTCGTTTAAAGATTGCACTGGTCAAGTGAGTTAGGGCGAAATGTCTTTATGTCCCCTGACATTTACTTCTCAGGGCTGTTTATACAATCGTGGACTCATCCGAAAGGTAAGGAATTTAATCAGCCACCAAAAGTACTATAGTCACGTGTTTGCACTTGTCATCAACCTCGTTCGCTGGGATTTTCCCCTTGGGATTAGGGTTTGTGTGTAATTAGCAAATATTGTGACCGGAAATCAACGGATGACAGCTCCGCTATTCAGCGAGCGACTGTTGACGGCCACGTAACCTGGCCTTATTTAACAGCTAAAATATAAGGATAAAAAAAAAGAGAAGGTCAAGACTTGGCCACGCCAGAGGTCAGCGACCAGGCTACTAAGCATAATTCGAAATGGCGGCATCCATAGTGGAATTTCAAGCACATGATCATGAGAAGACGATTTTCTCGTATCCAAATTTTGTTTTAAAACTGCTGGCCACGTGCAATGGTCGAATTTATGAAATAACTCGAACAATTTCAATTACAATACAGAATAGGACAAAAAACAAATACTAAAAAAAAACAAAAAAACAAAAAAACAGAGACAACAAATCATCACATTTAACAAAATAAGTCAAAACAAACACAAAAATTATTGTCGGATATATACTCGTTCGTGGTAAGAATAAACCCTGGAAGAAATTCGTTTGAGCTGCTGCATCAAATCCTTGCAGATTGTCTTGAGATGTCTTCGGAGATATTTGAAAATCCTCTGTTCAGTTCGGAAAGCTAGTGTGATCGCGTAATGAATAACATTAACATAATGCCATACGGGCCGGCTTTTTGCAGTTTACTCTTGATGCCGCATTCTTTAATTACAGCAGAAGAAAGATGTCGAGATGTTATGCCGTTTTTCTTCACGTAATATTAAAAACGGCAGCTTATTGAATTCAAGACAATGGAGAATCGAGAAAGTGCGCTTAATTGATCCTGTTAAACGTTATCTTTAGAACTCAGGGAAATTTAAAGGCGCCTGTTTGGCCGGACAAAAAATTTATCAGAAAGGAAGCATTAGGTCTAAATTTTTCTCTTTTTATCTCTGCATCCACCCGAACCAATATAACTTAAGATCTGCATAATTTTTCTAGTACTTCCTCCGTTTTAGCGAAGAGGGTCGCCGGCTGTCTAAATCGGAACCTTTAGCTTCACAAATCCTTTTATTTCAAAAGCGTCTAGCGGTTATTTTTTCTGTGCAGAATAGTCGTATTCTAATACCATCTTTTGTAAATAGCGATTATAACAGCAGAACCTGTGTAACCAGACACCCTCTAGTAAAACGAACCTCTGTTTTTGGAGAGAAAAAGATACCGACCCTTTAAAATTTTCATAATGATTCCAACAAATTATGGCGGCATTGTTTGCGGTGTCTTCTTAGGACGTTTGAGTTTCCAAAGCCGAATCTTAACTGCATAATTTTTCAATGAAACATATCTAAGCTGAAGTTTAGGGAAGTAGAATAATATTTGATTTACTCCTTAAGCGCAGTTCCTCACTCTTATCTGACAAAATGAGAAAACGTTCATCTGCCGACGGGAGAGAATCAGTAAGAAAAAAGCCTACGTTTCAGTTTACTAATTAGGTTTACGGTTTTGCTTTTGCATCAATTCTATTCCACATTGTCTCTTTTACCATCGTTTGCTCAAAATATAAGTATACCTGGCCATTTTTCAGCCTGTTTAAAATTATCGCTTTCGCAAAATACTTCAGTAGAACATTAGTGGAGCTTTCAGAATAAAGTATACCACTCTCCTATGATAATCATCATCGTTTGGAGCCTTAAACAGCATGTCTCGACATCCCGAATGATTCCCCTTTCATCTAATACTGGGGGGTTCCTTTTTGAATGTTAAAACACTGAGAATTTCCATTTTCTAAACTACTTCATTCTCTTGTTTTATATCAAATGTGTCTTGAGCAAAAAGTAGATGAAAAACAAAATGGTATGTAATGAAACACTCACAAAAACTCAGAAATGAATAATTCTCATATATACACGGTAAAAATATATCACAAACGGCTCCAAAGCCGTCTACCATCAAGACAAACACTTTTCCTCTTTCGATGCACTTAACAAACTTTTCAAAATGACTTTCAAGAGCAATTTGTCGGTGCCGATTTCTTGAGGGCAAAAAGTAAATATATCCATCGTCACACTTAAGGAAAAAAGGACTCCGAGTATCATATGGCGGCATAAACAATATGCTCTTAGGTAATAACCAGGAGGGTGTAATTTTTACGGTGGTTAAATAATAAATAGACATTTTTTAACTGAACCAGACGAGCGGGTACTTTGAAGAGGCCGTGTACTTTACAATTCGTCCTAAAACTACAAAGCAAACTACCTTTAAACCGACTGAGAAATTTTCTTTATTTTGAAATAATGAAAAATCTATAGAATGATAAGCTTTCAGCGTTTAGGCTCACAGTTTGTTATGTTTTGTTCTTTTTTGCCTCGGATTTCTCTTTATGACATGAAAGCCTTCGCATCATCACCTGCCTTATTCGATTTCATTGCTTATTTTGACTCAAAGAAACCGCTTAGAGTATTAAATATGTATAATTCTGTACAAGGGAAAAGGAGGGACTCATTGAGAATTACCTTAATTTCTCTTGTTCTGTTCTATTGCTTCAGTTAAATGTTCCACTTTATCAGTGGTATTTTCGTACGTTCTCACAAAAACGAGAATGATAATCAGTGAAAATCAACTGCAATCTGTTGAAAATATGCATTTCCAATAGGGGACGTTCAAGGTCCCTGACTAAAACTCACTCAGTTTTTTTTTAATTTCATTACCTAGCTCGAGAAACGAATTTATCATGCAGGTATAACTCCACTTCCGTCAAGTTTCGAGAGCAAATCCTCAGGCCACAGGAGCCGTAACGAACACAATATTGTAACGTGTTATTCGCTGAAAACTAATTACCTGAGTGTTTTGATAACTTCAGCCAAGAGAGGTCGAGTCGAATCGAAGCGATGTCCAGAGTGATCTGTTATCTTTCTCACCCTACCGCCGGTGTTTTGAAATAACTACTGATGAAAATATATTATTCCCGTGGCTTATGTAGCGGTAACAAGCCGCACAGACTTGACAATGAGCGGGGTTTTTGACGGTGCTTCGCGGGAAACTTGTCGGCTCTTTTGTTACATGGACAACGGATTGTGATATTATTATTTTAATCACAAACAGGTTCTGAGAATATTAGTTCGAAATGCGTTCGGCTATGATAAAGAAGAAGATGCTTTGTTTTGCTCATATAAAGGGCACAAACGTCATTAGAATTTAAATCGATGGTTTTTTTCCATTGAGAAAAGTGATCAGCGGAACAGCGACTGGGCTGTTTAAGCATTATTTTCTTTTCAGTATTTCTTTAAGAAAAGATGTACTTCTTTATGAGAAGATGTACGCAAACTTTCTCTTTATCTGTCAGAAATTTTAGTCAGATCGATCGCAGTCCACAATCGCTTTTGGAAGAATACTGTGAATGGTATAATTGCTTATCACGCTACCTTGTCAAATATAATATTTTGCTTTTACTCTGAATATTTCAGTCAAACGCGAGTGTGTTGAACAGAGTACATTGTTTATTTTCCTCTTGAGTGATTTCAGTTCGCTAATTTGCTTCATTTATACGCCCAACTGAATTTTTAATCAGCCTTTAAACTTATTTTAGTAACAGGTTTTTTGTCTTTAGAAACTTTCCAGCTTACGACTTGCCTAAGTTAATTTTTTTGTGAACAGCTTACCTTTTTCAAACCTGAATCATAATTTCTACAGTCTCGCATGCAACACAACTTGGGGCGTTTGGAAAACAGGCCGCTGATTGAATCTTAATAGTCCTCCATCTATTTATGTTAAACGTTCAAGACACGATATCAACAAACATGTAATTTGTTGACCCATCTTAGCCATGTTAATAAAGTATACAAGTCGATTGTGAAAGACATCCTAAAAATTTAGTGCCGTTAAGGTAGCTTTACGTAATATACCTTTTGTATTCTTTGACTTAAGACGAAGGCAAATATCAAATTGTATCAACAAATCAAAGATATTTGAAAGTACTTTTCTAGAACTAGCCTCTCCGAGGAAACGATGTTTCCGACCTTTCCACTGCAGACAGCAGTAACTGATGAAAGCGTGCACTACACGGAACAACTTGATTTATTCAAATATACGAAATATGTGATACTAAGGGGCACTTAGTACTTATGATGTTTTCATGTTACCAACCAAACGACAGAGCACTTTGCACGCAACTATATCACGAGATATCAAGTCCCTCCTTGTACTTCTTTTCAGTTGAAGTATCAAACCGTGCAGACCAAGATCATAGAACAAAAATCTATCTTCAGTTACACAGGTTAAGAACGCTCTTATCGATATAATTATTTGAGTTGGTGTACGTAAAAGGCAAAATTAAGTCCACCTCAGAGAAAATAATTACTTTTTCTGTGGCAACACTTCCTATTAGCAGTGACAATTTCTTCCCTTTATAGCGAGTTTTGAAACTTTGCAATAGTCAATCAAGTCCTTCCCTCACGAAATAGAAAGAAAACCCTTCACCCTCCCCACCTGCCTTTTCTACGTTAGAGCAGCTCTTGATTGATCTACCTCCCCCCCCGCCTCCTCCACTTCATGTGTCAATTCCAGTCCTCCTCAGTAAGTCAAGATTTAAAATGGCGGCAATTCCAAGACTTCTCAACAAGTTAAATGTAGGCACTTTGGCGGTTTGCTTAACTCGTGCACGAGTTTCAACAAGACTTTTGTCAAACGATCAACACAGACCGACAGAAACAAACGCATCGGGTGAGGAAGACACGCTTTCTGCTATTTCAACAGCAAATAATTCTCTCGAGAGGTGAGGTACCGTAAATATTATCACACATGTGCTGTGTGGTGTAGTTGCTGATCAGTATAAGGGAATAAAAAATGAAAAGGAAACTTCGAGCGTTCAAATGTCTCCATATGATATCTAGTAAACTGGTACAATACTGCAACTAGGGTTACCGAGAATTACCGGTTAATTAAGAACTATCATTTGAGTATCTTTGTCAAGAAGATAGCAAAACCAGACGACGTTTCGACATCATCTTCATAATACTTCGGAAAAATGCATTATTCGGCAGCTTTGACTAGTTATATTTGTTTGTAGACTATGCACAGAATGGATTGTAATTAATTTTCTAAGCTGTTAACTTATTTAAGTTTAACCAGCAGACGATATGCTTGTTGAATTCTTGCTTTTGGTTCAGTCTACAACAGTTTGGGAAAGTAAGAAAAATAACAACTTTCTGGATGAGTTCTTTCTGAAATTATTTTCACAAAAGGATGGTGGTGGTGTTAAAAAATGCACATAAATGATTATCTACATTGTATACAGCAGAACAGTAGTTTCGGTTTCCTCTAGAAACTTACATGTACCATGAAATACTCAAAATTTTCACAAACCCAATGCCTTGATGCTAAAGCTCTTTATCTTTATTGCACAGTTTGTTTTGTATGTGGGGATTTTGAATGTGAGGAGTTGTATGAAGGCTGGCATTGAGCAACATGTACGCATGTAAGCCTGAGAGTTTTGAAAAAAAGATACAGCCACTGGTTGGAGATGTTTGTGACACTTTCTTACCAAGACACATCTCAAGACTCCTTCCTTTCTCAGAAAGAGAGACATTTACCATATGTCAAAGACACTGTGTCTTTCTCAGAAAGAGAGACATTTTCCATATGTCAAAGACACTGTGTCTTTCTCAGAAAGAGAGACATTTACCATATGTCAAAGACACTGTGTCTTTCTCAGAAAGAGAGACATTTACCATATGTCAAAGACACCATGTCTTCAAAGTGGAGACATTTTTCAAAGCTTGTTGAATTTGTGTTAGGTTATCAGACGCTTTCTCTGGCGCAGCAACAACACCTTTTAGTCAAGAAATAGTTCAAGTTCTGATGTCTCCCATTAATGAAACTGATGTTGAGATCAAACCAGATGGTATGGACAAAATTTTTCTTGTGAATATTTATAATGATTACAGGAGGGAGTGATGTCTAAATCAATCTGTAATCCTTAACAAATCATTAACACAATTCAATTACCATGGAGCAGGAGTCGGATTTATGAAAAAAGTATTGTAACAAACAGAATCTACAGTATAAATACTGCCCAAGTTCTGCCAAATAATCAAAACTATGATAAAATAGAAGAGAAAAACTAGCTAACCTTTAAACACATTCATAAATAAAAACAGTATAGTTGACATTTTTTCACATTAAATTAAACCCAGTAGTCTGTGAAACAGTGAACACAAACAATGCGTATACATCATCCAATTACCTAAACATAAGGCATTAAGTGCTCAAAACATTGTCCAATGATAAGTTACTGTGTGTATACTGCTCAATAAGTGCTCAACCCAGGCTGTTGATAGCCAATTACATTTAAGAATTTTGGTTATGGTTTTGATTAATAGTTGCATATAAACCAGTGGACAGGGTTTCTCTAAGACAGAGTTTGGCTGCTCAACTGTGTAACATCCATTACCCATATCTAACCAAGCAAAACAAGACAAAAATGTCTAACTTCAGTTCATTGGGTTCAAGGTTCAGTCTTTCTTGAAATTGAGTAGCACTTGATGGTTTCTATGCTTTATATCATTCCTTCTCTCTTTGAATTCAGTGCCTCATGTGGTTAGGTAGCTGCTTTATTTAAATGTACCTAAATGTATTTGTATTAAAACTTCACAAGATTCAAAATTATTAAAAGGATCTTTCCTGTGATTGTAGTTAAAAAAGTCATAAGTTTCTAGCTTTGTTTAAATTTCATGGAGGCTCATGTGACTATATTGAATTGCTGAGTTTGTATTTTCTGAGTTAAGGAAGTTTTTGTGTGGTAATGTAACAGATGAGGTATAACATTTTTGTTTCATATGTGTTGTTGAAAATTACCAGTATTTAATCCAACGTCAGCAAATAAGTGTCTGATTGCTGTGAATAGTTTCATTGATTTTAAGATTCTACTGATACCCAACACCTGCAGGACTGATTTATCTTCCTGAAATAAAGTACAGAAGAATACTTAATCAAGCATTTGGTCCAGGTGGGTGGGCATTGGTGCCACGAGGCGAGTCTCTTCAGTTTCAGGTAAAGATCCTTAAATCAAATAATGTGTTCTTTTCAAGCTATTTTTTTGGGATGTATGATGGCCTTATCTTATTTGTCCTCAAACAAGAAAATCAGAAAAATATCACAGCAGAAGCAGCCTTTGAGCATCAAAAGTCTAATTTTTGTTTTGTTTTCCTGTGGAAACTTAACCAAATGGTATTTGGGTCATTCATTTTTAGTGATTTTCATTATTTATTTTGATTCACTCACTCATTCATTCTTCAGTGTAGTATCATTTAGTTTATGAGATACTTAGCTCTGTGACAATCCATGACAATACGGGAATACAGATTTGCATTAGGGTGGGCAAAACAGTGCAATTGATGGATGTTTGACTTTTTTTTAAAGTTTCTTCAAATGAGATAACACTGTTTATATTTCAGAATGACAAAGACAACAGCCAGCTTATTGTGCGAGAGTATGCATTGTTTTGTTTGGGAAGATTTGTTGCACAGACGGTTGGAGAACACACTTTTTATTCCTCTAATAACATGGTGTATGGAAAAGCTATGGAGGCTGCCAAGTCTAATGCATTGATGAGGTGTTGTAAAGATCTTGGAGTTGCTAGTGAGCTCTGGGACCCACAGGTAAAATTATTGATTGTTTAATATCTTTTTATTCAAGATCCATTTTAAGGTACGTTTGTAAGAAAATTTCCCCTTTAGACATGTAAGTACAAGTTTATGTCTTAAACTAGTAATCAAATGTTTTTTCCTAAGATTAAGGATCAATATCCTTTCTAAATAAGATAAAAAAAGGAAGCTTTAAGCTCAGTAAATAAATAAAGAGAGATCTTTTTTTTCTTCTTGCGAGTGTGGGACAAGGAAACATTGAGTTGCCTTAGAGAACAGAACCTCAGAGCATTGGATTCTGTGCTGCAATGCCCTACCCCTCACCCACAGAGACTCTATTTTGAGAATAGAACCTCAGAGCATTGGATTCTGTGGTGCAATGCGCTACCCCTCACCCACAGAGACTCTATTTTGAGAATTGATCTTCAGAGCATTGGATTCTGTGCTGCAATGCCCCACCCCTCACCCACAGAGACTCTATTTTGAGAATAGAACCTCGTGGCATTGGATTCTGTGCTGCAATGCGCTACCCCTCAGCCACAGAAACTCTATTTTGAGAATAGAACCTCAGGGCATTGGATTCTGTGCTGCAATGCCCCACCCCTCACCCACAGAGACTCTATTTTGAGAATAGAACCTCGTGGCATTGGATTCTGTGCTGCAATGCCCTATCCCTCACCCACAGAGACTCTATTTTGAGAATAGATCCTCAGAGCATTGGATTCTGTGCTGCAATGCCCCACCCCTCAGCCACACAGACTCTATTTTCAGAATAGATCCTCAGAACATTGGATTCTGTGCTGCAATGCCCTACCCCTCACCCACAGAGACTCTATTTTAAGAATAGATCCTCATGGCATTGGATTCTGTGCTCAAATACCCTACCCCTCACCCACAGAGATTCTATTTTGAGAATAGATTCTCAGAGCATTGGATTCTGTGCTGCAAATATTGTGTTTGTAAATATTACATACTGAGTTTGCTCAGAAATTTTATATTGGACTATTTGACACTTCTGAAAAGACCACTTATGCCATATTGGTCTTACTCTAGCTGCTGATATGTTGCCTGAACCATTTTTACCCATAACTGATAGAGGCATTGCACTATAAACCACATTATGAAACTAAGAACATGAGACTAGGAGGAAATGATTCATAACAAATGTGCTTTCCGGTAATTTTAAATTTTGTACAATGCTCAAAAATGGGGAAAAAATTGAGTGAGATCCTTCATTGTGATGAATAATGACCAGGAATACTGCTGTTCAGAAGGCAAGGTTATTTCTCTCCCACTGTATTTAGGTTAGGGAAAAAGGAGCAGTATATTTTTCACGATCGCTTTTTTTCCATGCCATATTTCTTTTGACAATCCCTTTGCTCTTTTCTCTCAATTTGAAAACACAAAATTGTTTTGATAATTCAGAGTATCAGATTTATATCATTCAATCTCTTCTAGTTCATCATTGATTGGAAGGACAAATATGCGCTGAACACATGGTGTGAAAATGTGCGAACCAGAGATAAAAAGAGGTTGTGGAGGAGAAAAGACAGAAAGTCTACACATGCTTTTCAATATCCATGGAAGGAAGTTGTTGAGCAGGAGAAATGATTTCAGTAAAGTAATCAAATATTTCCAACAAATCACCAATTTCACAACTTACAGTCAACAGTGCCCACACAACAGCCACGTCAAATGTTAATGTCTCTAGCACTTGTGTGGCCTACCTCTTAACCTGCTATAGTGGTTATTTAAGTAATAATCAAATTAATGCAAAAACAGCTATTTTCAAAGAGGTATACTGAGCAATCTTCTCCTACATCAGAAATTAAAGTAACCATTTGTTTCCAATCATGATGAAAGTATTGATGAAAATAATGGTTATTCATCTTAAAAGATTAATTTTTCAGTGTGGAGTTTCTTGAATATGTACAGCACACCAACAAAAGTCATATTTGTCTTCCAATTTTGAAAAGAAATTTAATATTTTGTGTAAAAATTGAGTAAACTTGGAGCACTTTCAAAATGCCCCCAAAATTTCAGGCGTGAGGCATTTTTGCACAGAGCTTTTAGATCAAGGTTTCCTTATTTGAAATTTTCTTATGTATCTTACAGGATTTTGGGGCATTTGAAGGATGAAAGGAATGAAGGAAATTAGAGGAAGAATGGACAGGGCAAAAAGGGATTCTAAAAGGAAGAATTTAGTGGAAAGATGACAACTAATAAAAATAGAACCTTAAATCAACCCAAAAAGGGGGATTGAAGGGAAAGGAGGGGG